GCCCTCCTGCTGGGATGGAGATGGTGCTCCCCATGACCTCGTAGAGCACGGGCCTGCGGCACCAGCGCGTGGACAAAGGCTGGCGGCTCCGGATCTGTCTGGCGAGGGCCGGGCGGCAAGGAGAGCATGTAGAGGTTTTCAGACCTAGACCGCATTTGCCGATAGCGCGAGGCAGGTCCAACGCCAAAGCCCCACTTGGCTCGAGGCTCATTGACCACCTCCACCTGCGCACCAGAGAGACGGTGAGGGTGCTACAAACTGGCTTTGACGGCACACACACCACGCGAATGCATGGGCCAATGGGCCTCCCATCCCTCCTGGGCCATCGCCTCGAGCAGACGGAGCATCGGCATCCAAGCATGAGCCAGCCAAAGAGAGAGAGCGAGAGCGAGAGCGAGAGCGAGAGAGACGGAGAAACCTTCACGCGAAGCCTTTGACATCCTTTGACCCTCCCAGGCCGCTCCTCCAGGATCTGCCGGTTGGAGCCAGCCATCAGGTTCTCGGCGCCCTGCAACAAGGACTGGAGCCAAAACAAAGCTAAGGGCAAAGGTGCAGAAGTTAGCAGCAGCCAGCACTTGTCCAAGTCGGCCCCGATTTCACTGCGGCTCGGCCTCTTCTCCTGCTTTCAAGACTTTCTGCTTCTTTTCATCGATCTCAACCGAGACGACGAGGTTCGCATCTTCCATCCCGGGCCTGTGCTTTGAGGCACTGGCTCTGGGCACCAGAAAAAATTTCGACCCGACTCGGTGTGGGACACTTCGGGTGGTGGTAGAACCTCAACCTCTGCGAGTGGCCTGGAGTCCGAGACATGTGCTTTCTGCACACTCCCAAGTTGCGGCAGCAATACCCAGAATCACCGCGAGAAGTAGGAAGCAGACTCTGGTGGCGGCTCATCCTCTTGAGGATCCGCATCCTGCCCAAGACGGTGCCAATGCAACAAGAACATGCATACCTGCACCTCCGAATAAACAATAAATATGTATGTGTATGTGTGTACATATACAAGTTATGCCAGCTATGCAAATATTTATCTATACATCTATATATATATATATAATATCTATATATTTATCTAAAAACAACTGAATACTCACACATTCGATTCGCCTCCAACAGGTCAGAGGTTTCCTCTTTCCCGCTTTCCCTTCCTCTTAATCCCCTCTTCAGTGACCAAGGGGCCACCGATCCCCTCGCCCTGAAAAATTGGATTTATAGCCTGCATTTCTGCGGCCCCGCCAGCCTGCATACATGCGTCAATGCATGCATGCATACGGATGTACGGCATACACAAGTATGTGACATACTACATATTCGAAATGGGTTGGACCATTCCGCAGCCCTTCCGTGCCCTTCTGCTTTCACGGATCGAGAGAGATTCCCAGTTCGAACGTTGTGTCCCGCCCAAGTCTGCTATCAAGAAACGAAACAAGTACAAACCCTGCTCAGCGTCAGCCGTACAGAATGGGATTGTGACATATGCACTCACTCTTTTTTCTGCCTATTGCTACCGACCCATCTATCTATGTATCCATCTGCGTACCTACCACCTACCCTACCTACCTACCTACCTACCTACCTACCTACCTACCTACCTACCTACCTCGCTACCTCCCCACCCTACCTACCTACCTGCCTATCTGGGTGTATGTCTATGTACCGATCCATCTATCTATCTATCTATCTATCTAACTAACTATCTGCTACCTGTCTATCTATCTACCTACCTGCCTGACTATCGCTCTGTCTAGCTACGGCTATCTGACCGCGATGTAACCTTCTGTATAAGCATCTATCGATCGATCTATCTACCTATCTATCTACCTATCGATCTTTCTAATTGGCCATGTATTTATCAGCAAAGGTGTTGATTCATTTGTCTGTTGTTTTTTGATCTAGTTACGTATCTCCCTCCATGTAAAGATGCAGCATATTTGTGAGAACAAGTTGCGTGTGCTACGCACAATGTGTTTAAGTCGTATGTACAAAGCAGATACCTACTCAATATGCACCCACCCTCGCTGCATCGGCACCAGTCGGAGCATTCGTGGTGCAAACATGGCGGCTGTCGCTGGAGAAATTCGTCCGACCATCGCACGGAATTTTCGACTTCTCATGGGTGGCCATGTGGCATGAGTCTCTTTGTTTGCACATGCCTCCTAATATATAAAACCACAAGTACGAATTCATGAAGGCATGCATGCATGTGCAAAATTTATGCATGCATGCAGGTAGGCAGGTAAGTAGGTAGGTATGTAGGTGTGTGCTTATGAATGCATGCACGCATCCCACTTTTGCACGTATGTGGGTAGTTTTCTAAATTAGGGTCTCTTTTAAACAGTGTGCCTTCTGGTTGTGATGTGCAGGTCTACTGTAGACGCGCACATGCATTTGCGATAGCTAAGTCTCTACATACCAACTGCATGGCTTTCCAATGTGCAGTGCGAGATGCAAGCGAAAATGCCAGGTGCCGTCTAACAGGGACAAACTTGAAAGATAATCTTGCCGCACTCGTGAGCTAAACTCGGCTACACGCTGAACCACGCAGAAGCAAGTGAACAAGGTGTTCAAAAACCTGGGCCCGGAATCATGGTTGCTATCATGTCACGATGTCGCCGATGATCGGCGCGCGAGCACGCATGAAGATGTCTGGATGCTGCTGCTTACACTAAGTTGCTCTGCCCTTGTGCAACTTGCAGACCTGATACCCCGACACCCGAACCAAGTCGCCTCCGGCACATCGACGGCCTGCGATTGCAAGGTAGGTTGAAGTATTCGAAAACACTCGACTCTGCACAACACTTCTTCTCGTGTCCAAAGTAACTGAATGAAAAAATCGATCTGCAGCCTCCAGCACCGGCTCTGCCTCCAACTCTAACGGCTCCTCTGCTGCTTCCTCTTCCTGCCTGGAACATGCTCAACAATTTCAGTCTCTGTCTGCTTCGGTGGGTCCGCAAGCTTCCGCTGGCCTCTGCGGCAGGGCTGCAGATACCTCCTCCGGCTCCTCCGTCATGGCTGCAGGAGACTCTGCTTTGTCAGAGTCATCCGCCTTGGATCTGGTGGTACAGTAGCAATAAAGATGAGAATAGCAGTAGAATGGCTATCATTGCAGTGTGCCGGGAATTTAGAACAATTGTTTGAGCAAGATTGCCAAGGGCTCTTGCAATCTTGGTCTCGTCGACTAGTTTACCTTTCGGAACCAAGATTGTTATGCAATCTTGCAATCTTGGTCTTCACAAGGTAAACTAGTCTGGGAGCAAGGGGGAGCGAGATTGCCTGCAATCTTGGTCTCCAAAAGGTAAACCAGGTAACCAGTCGGCGAGCAAATCGGCAAGCGGGGATGACCAACATTGCCAAGATTGCTTGGCAATCTCCCCCCCTCCCGACCAAATTGTCAAGACGGAACTAAGCGTTCCAAATTCCCGGCATAACGTATCATTACTATAAGTAAAGCGGCTCAGCATGCCCTGGAAGCAGCACTGACCAATGATGCAGATACGAATGCACACCAATAAGGACAAGAAGTCAAGTAGATATGGGAGCTTCCAAAATTAGGGTACCTTATATCGGGGTCCTTATCACAATGGTCCTACTATTTAGGGTACTATATTAGGGTCCCCTATTTTCGGAAACTCCCATATGATGCCAAGGCTGCGGCCATTCCTAGGGCCGCTTGAGCGGATTGCCACCAATCCTCACTGCCCTGCAACATTGAAGCAGTTTCGGCACGGCTCCTACGAACTTTCTAACCAGTGGGCGACCTCCTCCTCGACGGGAGGGTCCTTGTTGTCCTCATCCTCATCAGATCCTCAGTGGCTGGTGGCTGAGGGAGGAGGGCGTTTCCTTTACCAGTAGCAGTCTTTCAACTTTCAGGGAGGCACGGCCGCTTCCAGTGCCAAGCACGGCTGCAACCACCGACGTCTTGACGGAAGCCAGGATGTTCAAGATGCCTACACTCTCAGAAATCTTTTCTCGACCGTCCGTCAGCTGGGGTCGGCCTTTTGTCGCATCCTCATCCTCGTGACCCTCCTCGCTCGACGTGGCCTGCACCTGGAGCTCCAAGGCACTTGAAGGCGATGCAGATGCCGCGGCACTGCCTCGTCGCTTGAAGGTTTCCGCTGCCTGAGGCTTCGATCTCCGCTTCCATCAAGCTAAAGGTAGCTTGCAGTCCAGCGGCCTGATGAGCTCTACGTGGGATGACGGCCCATTGACCAGGCCATCCCACCACTCTGACGTTGTCCTGCAGGCTGATGGATGTTGAGAGTTTCTTGGACAGATCTTCGAATCTCCTTCTCCATGAAGCTTCATGCTGCGTCGTCTCCTAGGAGTCAGGAAGTCGGCAGCAACGTGCGGGCGTGCCAGCGCAACTTTCCATCCAATCGGACCTTCAGTAACCACTGCTTCAAGTCGTCGTGGTCCGTCTTTCGTCCCTTCACCTAAAAGACGTGCGAAGGTGAAGGTGCACAATTCGCAGTCATAGTTGATCAGAAATGTATGCATTGCAACAAGTGGGCAACCATGAACTGCTGCAGAAATCATGCTCGCAGCTGAGGGGTAGAATGGCATTGCAAACGACTGGAGCTGTGCTGTCCGGAAGTCTCTTGTCGCATTACAGACAGAGCATCATTCGTGCACCGCAAGCCTTCTGCGCTTTGCTTCTTTTGCTTGATTGCCTGGTTTGCAGGGACTGCAAAGTACTCCAACATAAGAAAAAGCTGCGCTGCGCCTGCGTTCTGCGACATCACTCCTGCATGCCCACTGCTTCGGCTTTGTGCAAACTGCACCGCCAACGTTCTACTCCAGCTTAACAAAGCATAACAACGCTGCTGCCCACCCTTCGAAAAGGCCGAAGAAGGCCAGGGCGACCAAGCCGTTCCGACCCCAACCTCCTGCCATCTTCGAAAAAATGAATCCTCTTCCTCTCTGCTCGCTGCACTGCTCTGTCTCGTCCTGATTGCTTCGGAGCAGCCGCAGCTACCGGACCTGCCAGGACGGGCCGTGTGGAGTCTTCGGAATCTCTTAGCAGCTACAAGTAGCCTTGGATGGACGAAGCACCAGCAAGTGGAGCCCATCTGATGAGATCAGAGATGATAAAAAGAGGGGCTCGCAGAAACTCCGACTCAGAGTTTGTGGAAGCAGGAGCCTCCTCCTTGGGCTGCCCGGGCCACGGCCGGCCTTCGACTGTTCAATGGGACGTGTATCCAAAATCGCTCCGAGCGAGCTAACCGAGGACCGCACCACGCTGAAGCCTTCGGCGGCCGAGCGAACGCAGACGCAGCTGCCAACGGCTACAACCTCAGAATGCAAGCAAAGGCATGGCAGCATCGCGTGGGACTCATGCTTCCACTCGCTTCAGCTTCCAGCCCATCGGCTGCCTCTCCTGCGTTCTCTTCGCCTGCGAATCGGCGTTAAAACTTCAAGCCCCATCAGCTGCAGCACTGGGTCGAACATCCTGTAACCATCACAGGCCCTGATTGGCCTGCGACCCCGTAAAATCTGCCACAGGGCGTCTGTTTCAACCTCACCACGACACTGGCTGTCACCGCAGACTCAGCGTAGAGACAGCTGGCGCCTCCATGCGCTCCATGGGCTTGCCTGCAGAACTGAGACCGTCAAAGCTGCTTGTGTTTACATAGCCATGACGTCATCTGAGTACCCGCGACACCATAAACTCTCCGGCTAAAATCTTGATCGAAATACATTTTCTGCTTCACATCTTCTAGGAAGATGAGGAAAGCCCAGCTGGCCCAAAGATCCAGACGGAAACAATTATGTGCAGGCTTTGTCTGGTCAACTATCCGGCTTTCCGAGTCGATATGCTAGATGTCATCTCCCTTTCAAGGCGCTTTGACATGTCGGCTTCCGCTGATGTTGACATGTTGACGGCGGCTCATCCAAATCTGTAGACCGAGAGGTCGCGACCTTCATTCTCAATACAAGAAATGCTTGCAAGCCATCACCTTACGTCTCATATCCAGGATCTGCAGAGCTTGTGCTGTCCAGGATGGTTTCGGTTTTCAGAACAAGAGCTGACTTAGGAGCTACCTGATAAACTTGGACGCATTCGATACTAGCTACATACGATTGAAGCCTTGCCGGCCGGAAAAATGCTTCGGCACGGCATGTACTACCCTTGCTCCCGCACCGTCTCATGAGGCCACAAGAATGCAGAGCTCGACCCATCCCGCCTGCTAAGGCAGGTCGGCAGCCCGGTTTTGAACAGCTGAGGATCACAGAGCAATACGATGCAATACATTGCAAGTGTCTGTTGCATTTTCTGTGCCAGGAGCCCCCCGGGACTCTCCGCTCGCAAAGGTTTTGATCGATGAAGCGCAGTTCAGATCACACTCGGCCAGGCAGTGTAGCACCGGTGGAGAAGCTAGGAAAGTCTCCTACCTACACTGGCTAGACGGTCTGTTGAAAGATTTACTGAGGCATTGCTGAGGCCACACTCATGTGCACTCAAAAATTACGGACTGTCTGGCTGGCCCTGCTCTATTAAGTCTTTCACATTCCAGCAGCTGCCTCTGGGCGCGCACTTTCGTTTCAGTTTCTGTGCGCTCACCTGATGCAGGATCCATGCGGATATTTCACATCCTGGGAGACTGCGCAGTGTTGCATGCCCACGTTTGTGCGCATTAGGCCCTCTGTGCAAGCCGGTTGTGGACTTGAGTTGACTCTAAATGGTGTGGAGCAGTTTCGCAAGTGGTCCATCCGCTGTCCAGTCTTAATACTGGCAGCAGGGACCTGACATACCGTGGCATACCTGCTGAAGGTATGGACTTGCAAACAAGGCAAATTCGAGCATTTACTGTTTCTGCCTTGCTGCAGCAACCACCTCTGTCTTGCAACTTGAAACAGGAGCTGTCTGCGTAGAACTATGTGTACTGCATTTGAAGTGACAAGACAAAGGAGCTTAGGGCAAAGCTTCGAGTGAAGCTTACTTTACTGTAGGCACGAGGCCCTCTGCCATGGCCGACAATGTGAAGTAAGCACTCTGTCTCTTTATCATTGGCAAAGTAGTGGAGGGCTCCCATGCCGCGCAAGAAGAAAAACAGGCAATATGAGCCGCAGCTCCATCATGTCCTTTGACATAGGACCCGGCTCGCCAAAAGCCTCGCAAAGCTTGATAAGCACTGTCCAGACTAGTTCTTGTCTGGATTCTCCCGCCTGCACTGTTAGCATCGATTCGACAGGCCCGGAACCTTGACGAGTGCAAGGCATTGGACTTGAGATGTTCGGATTCAATGCAGCGTCTGGGATCCGCCACATCACCAGGGGCACTCCTGCCCGTGGCTCGCGAATCTACCGCGCTGTTAGGACCTGCGGAAACTCAGGAGATGGAAAACAAAACAAAAACATTTCCCGTTAATCCGCGGTAGACTCCCTGACGGCCCCGACTCATGTCGAACTTCAAGCTGCCAGACTGGTCTATCACCCCGGAGTGCGTGGAGTGCTTTACATCCCCTCGGCACACACTCAGCAAAAAGCCGTAGCCATCGGAGAACTTCCACTTAGATCCCGGCGTCTGGAGCTTCTCCTTTTCATTCGAGGTTCCATGCTTCTGGGCTCCTAGGAAGCGACAGTAAATCTAAATCTGTGGTCACTGTGGCTGCTCAGCATGCTGAGCTTCGTTGCAGGGAGGCTGAGGAGCTGAGTGCAGCAGAATGCACATGATGCCATGCAACAGCGGCCAAACAACTTGCTTTCAATGTCCAATTCGCCTCGTCTTCCTGATCGAGTTTTTCGTCGCCCTCAGAGAAGAAGATGTTGGAACTGCTAATGTCTCCTGAGGCCGTGGTGCAGGCAGCCCATACCCAGGTGCAGAGTGAGCAAGCAACTGCGGCAGCCTCCGTTCTTAATTATGAGTTTCTTCAAGAGATCGTCGATGCCGTGCTGCACCTGGCTTTGCCGCTGGCTGGCACTTACTCAGCACATTGGGGTAATTCAGCACAGCAAAGAGCATGCCGTGGGGGGCCGTCGAATCTCGCTTTTGGCGCATTTGTTGCGTGAGTGATCTGGCTTTGTGGGCGTTCTTACCTGGGACAGGAAGGCAAGCACATGGACGAGAGAGGCGTTAAAGCTGCGCAAGACTCCATGTCTCCGGACACACACGCTGCCTGACGCACAAAATCGAACCATCCCTTGCAACAAGTCAAAGTTGTGTGTATCCCTTGAAACAAGTCAGATTGTTAATAATGCACGCCCACTTCAAAGTATGTAGGTCTCTACAGCTCCGGGATCGCATCTTCAGTGAGTCATGGCGAATGCCACAGATGCTCGCTTGTTGGTCTTGTTGGGCCCCGCGGCTGTCGCGCTGGTTTGCAGCAATGGAGCCATCATGAGCCATCTATGCTTCGCTTTGCCATAATCTTCTTTCACCACATGCCGCTGCGCAGGTGTCAGTCTGTCCCGTGACAAAATGATGCGGCACATATCCGAGTGCCCTCCATGCACGACTTCTTAAGTCCACGACCCACAATTCAGGCGAAACCATGACACGCCTTGCTGGTTTCCTATCGCCATGCTCTCTGCACTGGCAGATCTCTTCCAGTCTTCATCGCTCGGACTGCACGAGGGGTGGGAGCTTGAGCTCTTCAGTCCATGTGGTGCGATTCAGGCACGGCCGGTCCGGGTATGTCCCAGCTGGGGAAGGAGGGAGCCGGTAGCCCCGAGCATATCACCTCGGACCCCAGCAGGTGGCAGGCAGGAAGCCCAGGGCCCAGCCAGGACGTGGAGAGGAGGCCTATGGAGCAGAAAGAGCAAAGGAACCCCAGATGTTGGAGCCCCAAGTGGCTTCGGGTTTGGGGGCTCAAGGTGGACGAGCACTGGTCCCGATCCAACGACGAGGTTACCGGAGGCCAGCCAACAGCACTTCGAGGAGTGACTGTTCAGGATGCAGCGGACGAGAGAGAAGTTTGGCCATTTCAAGGACCACGTGCGCACTGGAAAGCGCTAGATGTGAAGGGCGAGGTCATCGCTATCAGCCCCGCTTGGAGATTTCTGTGCAGACCTCCAAAGGCGGACAAGACCGCTCTCAACCCGCAGGTGATCACGGGGTGTTTGCCTCCGCAAGGCTGTGCAAACTGTCGGCCTTCTTGAGCTGACACCAGCTCAACCTCTTGCCGTTCCGGAGCCCTGACTGGCACTCCGTCGGCGTGAGCAGCAGTAGGAGAGCAGAGGAGCAGCAGTAGCAGAGCGGTTGAGCAGCAGCAGGTGCAGGAGGTGAGCAGCAGGAGA